TGAACCTTGGACTAAAGGGATTAACATTTACTAACAGAGGGTAAGGACGAAGGGATTAGTGGGCGAGCAAATTGAGAAGTTGCCGAGTTCACAGCCATAGGAGCCCCACGTGCACTAGGCAAATTTTTTACAGCAATTATTTGCACTGTCTGCTTTAGTCCAAGGCTCCAACTCCAAGCTATCTGGGATTCCCTTGTTTGAGAATTCTAACGCGTTCTAACATTTCTTGATACTTTAGAAAAGTTGGATTCTTACCTTTCTTCTGTAACTATATGCATGCTTTTAACAGGGCTTTTACAATTTGAACCTATAGCACATTGCAATCAATCCCTTAATATTGTGTGTGTGTTGGGAGGAGGGGGAAGGGAGTTGTTTCATGAACCATGGATTTCATTCCAGCGAACATATACATCAAAACCCTTGTTTCGATTGCGTTGAAGTTGCCAAAGTTTCTGTTGCAAAAACACCTAGCTACGTTGGTTAACCTTTATCACATGGCCTAGCTAAAGTTGCTATACCAAAATTTCTTGTTCTACATGATTTTAGTGCCTTAGATATAAAGAAGAGAAGAAGAAGACAAAAGGCCATTTATGGATGTGTATATTTGTACTTCTATGGCTTTTCAGAGGCGGAATGGTAGGAGCGGATGGGAAGGGGCATACCCTGATATCAATTTGCCAAATGTCAATATTACCTTTTTCTTGTTGCTTGGTAAAGTCTCATCTCAAAGATGCTTTTGCCTTTAGCAATTGCTTTTTCACGACTATAGTACTAGTAAATACAATCTGATAAGCCCCAAAGGTCAAGTTGGTAATAATTTCGCTTGCTTAAATTTGCCTTTTGAAATTACCAGCCTTTCCTATGATTAAAGTGATACATTTTAACATAAAGTGCTCAAAACTGACGTACAAAGCAAACATCAGGTGAATATAAATTCCACCTTTTTTAATCTCTTCTTTTCATGAAAATTGCTCCGCTTTTGGCTCAACAAGACTTCTCAATCCGAATGCTGTAGTAATAGTCCATTCATCTCTTCCTCATGTGAGCTGCAATGACATCTTGACTATTCTCTGATCAGTTGCATGCCTATCTCCAACAACAGTCTCCCTTTTTAGCAGTCAATAATGTGTTTTCTCTACTTTAAGAAAACTAGGTGCACAAAAGTTGCTTCAGTTCTTGTCAGTGTGGAGTTCGTGCATTTTGTCTATTTAACAACAGGATAAAGTGATTGCAGTGGTGATGATACTGACAGAGTGACAGCAGTGCGTTCCATCTCCCACAGATTCAATTCAAAGCAGTGCCTTTTGATGGAAGCCCTTTTAAGCCAAAGATGGATTGCACAACTTTGCATTACTTTCAAGAATCATTTAACAGTTAAGCAACAGTGTACTTGCGTGATAAGCATCCTTCCTATTGTGTTTATAGATGTGGATTTGAACATCATCCAAGAATCATGTTACAAGCACGAGGAGAGAAGGGGAGAGCAAGAGAGAAGTACTGCAAGAAATGAACTGGATCTTGTAGAGCACCTAATTTTTTAGGCGGCAGAAAGTAACATATAATTGTAGTGATCATAGCAATAGTAGTATTACATAATTTTGATGGCTAGAGTACACGTGTGGAACCAGTAGAAATGATGTGACTTACAGGAATGGATTCGCTTCCGTGTTTGGATTGCTGTTTTTATATAGGGTTTCACGTAAATTAAATCGTTACAATGACAAAACAATTTCACATATCGACTTAAACAAAGGATTGAATTAACAATACAGATGCTCTTCATCTTTGCCATCAACTATTGGACGTTGTCTATGGTTACATTCATTCCCAAGTGTTCTTATCCATCACATCTGTTGATAAAAAAGATATTGATCTATACGAAGCTTATTCCTATCAATCTTTATACCGATTTGGACGGATACCCAAACCTCCACTATTGAGAAGCCTTTTCTGCTTGCTTGGACATGTGTCATCCAGTTATTGATGCAGGGCAAGACCTCCACAAGAAACAATTAGCAATTGAAAAAAGGAGAGAAGATAAGATTTAGGAGACAGATAACACTAATAATCGTGTCAAAGTTCCTACTTTGTTATCCCAAAGACAAATTAATCTTCTATCCAAATTTAACCACAATTTCAACCATTGTAAAGAATTGGCTAGTAATACCCTTCCCAAAACATAAAAGAAAAAAAAAGGTTCCATTTTATTTCACTGCCTTCTCTAATTCCTCAATGTATATTAAAAAATGAGAGCGAAAGAGATAGAGAGGAACGCTACTGCAATTTGACATAATTTTGCACTTTAAACATCTTTTTTTTTTTTAATTTGAGAAGGAAAAAACCACAAAGGTTTCTTAAAGAAAGAAAGTGAAAAAAATTTACAAGCTCAACGACACAAAATACAAAAAAGCCCATATTAAAAACGAGATAGGCCGGTCAGGCCGTGTATTCTTGGGTGGCCGGGAGTGCCTGATAATAACTAATGAAGACATCGCCATATATTAGCCCAGCCAATGCTCCACCAATAAGTGGGCCGATCCAATAGATCCAGTTATCCTCGAAGTTTCCACTAACAACGGCTGGGCCAAATGATCTTGCTGGGTTCATAGATCCACCACTGAATGGGCCAGCGGCTAAAATGTTAGCTCCAACAATGAACCCAATTGCAATTGGTGCAATTATTCCAAGGGACCCTTTCTTGGGGTCGGCTGCCGTGGCATAGACAGTGTACACAAGACCAAACGTAGTGACTATTTCCATCACCAAGGCTTCAAATCCATTCATTCCTGAGGCAACGTTATGTGTAGGAATTGCCTGCCAAAAAAAAAATTGTGCACAATATTCATTCCCTTTCTTGAGTTTTATGTTAATTATTATGCAATAAATTTCCAATATGATTAGGTTTTCTAAGTTTTCCTTTCCGATCAGAAGTTTATTAAATTTAGTGGATGGTTAGGCTTTCAAATCCCATGATAGATTGAGTTTTTTCTTTCACTATTTGTGGGTTTGGGAATTGAGTTGTGATTTCCATCATTTGCAGGTTTGTTTGTATTATTCCTACCATTGTCATCACTTGTGATCTTGTAAAATAAATTAAGTTTTTTTGCCTCAACAATAATATCATTATAGCCTAATCTATCATATTCTACAGGAAAGTGGAGTCTAAAGAAACTGTATCAGAGGTTAACAAGTAAAAAAAAAAAAAACCCTTCTTAGCGACCATTGAGCTAAAGCTCGGTAGTTTGTAAAAATAAAATAATCAAGACAAGTGTTTCTCACAAATTAATGATTCTGAGGTACATGGAACGTACCAAGCCATTAGTAACAAATTTGAGGAGGGCGCAGGCAACAATGGAACCAAGCAATTGGGCAATCCAGTAGAAGAGGCCAGTTAGAATAGTTATGTTCCTCCAATTGCCAATCCAAAGGTCACTGCCGGATTCAAGTGGCCACCAGAAATGTTGGCCGCAACGGCCACCCCCACGAACAACCCCAATCCATGAGCCACGGCCACTGCCACTAGACCAGCTGGGTCTAGAGCTGCATCCGATGTGAGCTTATCTACAAGCACAAAACAAGGAATTTTTGGTGCACATAATTATTAATAGTAATAAAAAAAAAAAACAATGGAATAGATGTGTATAATTGCTAATGAATCTCAATTCTTGCTGTGTTGTGGGCAAGATTCGATACAATTACTACAGAGAAATGGAATACTTACTGTAGGCTATTGCTGATCCAACACCAGCAAAAACGAAGAGAAGAGTGGCAATAAACTCAGCTAAATAACACTTTAATGAACCAACACTAAAAGAGTCACCAAAGCTACCAAAAACTATCTTCACCATTGTTTCCGATCACCTGAGAAAGGCAAGCAAATTACTAGCCAAAAAAAAGCTCAAAATCCCAGAAAGATTGACTCACTAAAACTTGTTGGCTTATGAAGTTCCACAATGATCTTCTTTATATAGTGCATGGAATTGTAAGCCAAAACTGGCATTTCCAATATTAATCACCGACCATGGGGCCTAAGAGAGGGAGCTGAGGCACCTAATTGGTGCCGCCCCACCGGCCTGAGTTCAGAATATTGAACATTATGTACATGGCGACGACTGAGTAATTAGAATTAAGGGAATTGCTGCTCAATATCACTTTTTAGCATATAATTAATGAGTGGATTTAATGAAGTAATCAACTCCACCAAAATAATGATTGATGGCCTATTTCATGATAAGTTTTAGTAACACGTATACCTAAACCCACATAAGCCGGGCGCCTTATAATAATTCTGATGATAGTGGTGATTATGTTAGTGTAAGCAGAAGGATAATGCAAAATAATATGGGGACCTTTTCTTTTCTTTTTGAGGAAGTTCTTGAGTCATAAGCTGATCACATTTTTTATTCCAGGTTTACTATGGTAATTTATTTAGATAACCTAGTAAAATACGAGCTAATGATAGTTATGGCTTCACTTATTATATCATAAAGAAGCATTATACTTGTAGCCAGTTAGATGTTCTTATAGATTACCCAACTGGAATAGTTGGCATTTGCATGCAAAATACTTTCTTTGAGGAGCTCTTTAATTTGATCCTTTTGGTTAATGCTAGTATGTGTGATCAAGTGTGTTGCAGATAAAAGGAGTATTTCAAAAGATTTTAACCCATATTGGAAAAGCAAAGGAAATTCTTATCATTTTATAATGCTTAGTCTTTTATTGAATTTGTATTAGATTGATAACTAGTGCGAATTCGTGTGCATGAGAGAAAAAAGTTGAGTTGGACCGATTCAATACAAACTGATGGCTTTGCACCCCTACTCGTGTGAGTATTGAACCGGCATATTAACGTGAGTTAACACGATCTAATTTTCGCAGTGATTAGCAGCACAAACTAATGAGTTATCACAGGTGGCACGACAGCAAATATAACAAGAATGTGCAGCCTCTAAAACTATGTACGTACTTAATCAACAAATTCTTGAGGTGTGGTCTTATACTTGGCTACTTCTCTTACAGTGGCTAGAGACTCTTCTTTCAACTGCTAGAAGAAAAAAGAGCTGCAGAAGAAAAACATCATATCAATTCAAGATATGGTCTTCGAGATTCTGGACCTCTTGTTTGGTTTGCCCTTTGCACGGGAGCCTTTTTCTGATCCCATGGTAATTTCTTGCATCTGTCGATTTATTTTCCTTCGTCTCTGCAGTCCGATCATCTTCGAATTTTGTTCTGCTCTAGAAGTATTTTCTCAGGAAGATCTAGATATACTATCACTGACCATTAATGCAATTGTTTTGTCTGGTCTTAGAGCTTCTGTTCACAGGAAAGAGTTCTGAAAGTCATGACTAGACTTTTGATTTTGCCCAAAACATTTACTTCTGCTTCCCGACTTGGTATTTATCTTCTTATTCGTATCTTTTCCCCTTCTGTCTAGCTGGGAGTCTCTACACCATCGAACATTAGAGACGAATTGGAATCCGCCAAAAGAGACTTCCTTCAAGCTAATATTGTCGTGAAGTCGAAGAAAGCGTTTTTACCAAAAGTGCTTAAAAGATACACGAAAGAAGCATCGATTTCAGCAGATGATCTTCTTGATTGGATTGCTGAAAGTGCAGGCAAGAAGGCTCACGATTCAATGAAGAAATGCATTGAGAGTGCAAATACCAAAAAAGCTTCTCGGATTATTGAATGGTTGCCTTACAATTCAAGGTTCCGATATGTGTTTGCCAAGGATCTACTAGAGAAGCCTTGGTGGGTATTGAAGTCTAAACGAAATCTGGTGGAGGCTGGCTATAGATATAATCAAAATTGGATGTTCATTCTTTATATTTAGTTGTCATCTTTCCCAATGTTAATTACTTGTCTGATCTTGTTGAAAAATTAGATGTTCATTAATCATGTACTACATTTCTGCTTTGGAAAAAGTAAAAAGGAAAAGTCATTGGAAAGGAGATTTCTATCCAAAAAATTTTTACGTTTTTTTATGAACACATTTTTCAATCACCTTATTATCTCATATATATTACATCATTACAGTATATTTTATACAAAAATTCCAAAAAATTACAAACCAAACACATCCTTAACTGCCCTGCCAAGAGCTGCTCTATCCTGAAATACTGCTGTGCATGTCAAATGGCCCAAAGTCATGTCACTTCAGATTAAGGTGTCATTCTGCGTTTTGGGCAGGCCTGTCAATCGGGCCTAATGAGCTGGGTTTTGATGAGTTCAAGTTTAGCTCATTTAATTTGAAACATTTTCGGGTTTCGGATTATGAGTTTCGGGTTCGTAAATGTGAAACTCATACTCAACTCACATAATATTCGGATTGTGAGCCTTAATCGGGCTTAACCCAAACTCACTTATTACTCCTTAATTTTCTTAATATAATTACTATAACTATTAAGTTGTAATTACTAAAACTAATTTAATATTTACAAGACTATAATATTAAAACTAAAGATGAACAAATAATAGTTCTTAAAAAGTATATAAACCAAAATTTTTTTCAACAATATTTATATTTAATCTGTTTAAAATGCATGAAAAATAGTAATAAAACATGCGATCATAAGCCAATACATCTTTAAAAGTTGAAACTTTTTTATAATTTTGTGATTTAAATCCAAATATGTTTGATGATTTTTGTGTTTGTAGACAAAAAAAAATCAACCAATAATATGCCAATACAAAAATTTACTCAACCAATAAGAAAAATTAGAGATTTAGTTATGCATTACTAATATTGGCTCTCAAGAAAGCTCATGAAAGAGTCTTTAGATGTATTTTTGTAATTAGTAATTTATATATATATTTAGTATTTAGTAAAATATATTTGGATATATAATTATACATAATATCAAAATATAAATATTATATATATAGGTAATTAAAGGGCCGGGACTATATCGGGTTTGAACCTAATAAAGCCCAAGCTCGGCTCACATTTAATTCGGGCCTATTTTTTAGGCTCAAACTCAACCCGACTCACTAAATGATCGGACTCATCGGCTTTTTGTTGGGCCGAATGAGCCAAGCTCGGGTTGGCCCAGCCCCATTGACAGTCCTAGTTTTGGGCCGTATCTTTGGCAACGTTGCTCCAAACCCTCCGTCCACAGCCCGCCTTGCAATCTACTACGACTACTAGTGTGATACCTGGGTCGAATCCAATGCATCGCGGCACAAATCCTGCCCGTTAAGTTAAATAACTGTTCATCAGAAGGATTCAGCTTTTCAAAAGGTTTACCCTCCATTCCAATTCCATACGGACAACACTGACAACTGATTACACACTGTTACTGTGTGAAAAGAGAGTGAGAGAATGAGGCATTTGGCACTGCACCCCACACCAGCTATAATAAATCGCCCCATTCAATGCTCTCAACGACACAAAGCGATGGAATTGAATTCATCTTAGCTAACTTTGGCCCCATGCATTTGAGCAGGTTACTATTGCATGCCAAGTATTCGTTTTTTCACTCAATTATGACATGTTTTCTTGTTTTTCTGTTTTCGTTGCAGGCTTGTTTAAAAATCTTGCAACTACATTCCATTTCTGCTGAAACGTGCAAACCCATTAAAGAATGGATCGTCTTCTTTTTTCTATCACTCATTAATTGGTTCTTTGAAAAAAACAAATTTTTTTGCGGTGTCAGGTTTCATTTATTTCTCTTGTTTGCTTTATAGCACTTGTTTTAAAATGACCCAATTAAGATTGGGTCCTTGGGGGTAGGAGGAGTATGTTGATGAAGAATGTGAGAGAGCTTTGAATGTTGGGTTGGGTTTCAAAGAAAGTGGAGAATAATGACTAGTTTAATTGTAGATGAAGGTGGAAACAAACTGCTGCTGTTGGGAGACAAAATGGAGATTCTGTGGCGCATACACATACTTATGCTCAACATAGGCGTTCTAGGAGGTTCATTTCTTGTCCGTTATATCTAATAAAATGTTTGGGTAGGACTTGTATGTTAGTTTATGCTGAATTATTCAAAGATTTAGGTCAAATAAATTTGTCGCTGTACTCACCTCATTTTTTTTTTTTTTGCATACTTTTGGGGTTTTCGTTTTCTTTCTTTTTTCTCCCTGTATAGTGATGGGTGAAAAGCTGAGAAATTTGGTTTCAGTAATCTCAGATTTTGTCATTCTGGGAGGAGTTGAATGTTTGTTCTTTCTGCGCAGTTTACCTTTTAAAAACGCACTAGCTTGTGTTGAAATCAAATTTTGTTTGTTCCTCTCTATCTCTCTCTCTCACTCACTGTTTTTTCTTTTTTTTGTTTGGGGGAGGGGGACCTGAGGTGCAAGTTACAAATCGTGCTTTTTCTTTTTGTTTAGATTAAGTTCACAACTTGGTTGTTCTCTCCATAATATTAGATTAAACTCATTCTTTAGGTGAAATAATTCGTAGGAGTCAGGATGAATAGGTATCCGCGTAAAAGAAATTTTGGCAAACAAAATGCTAGGTCACTGGACTCACGAAATTATTTTGATGTCTTCCCTGGGTAATGGTATAATTAATGAATGATTCCCCATATGTCAAATAGAAAAGTGTTCACTCAGTAATTGGATTTCTGGATGTCATTGTCTTTGTTATTTAATTTCTTTTCTCTTCTGAATTTGTACTAGTTTAGCTGTTGTCCCTTGGATTCGAAGTTCCATGACTTAATCCAAAAAGAATGAAAGCATAAAGTGAAGCTGCATTTCAGGATACACTTTCTGGTGGAAAGTACTAAAGTTTAACATGTTGGATGAGCCTCATTCGGTTTAAGCTAGTTTGTTATGTTTTGGCCTTTGAAGTTTCAATTTCCGTATTGGAAACCCCAATTAAAGATTTTTCTGGTAGTAAGTCAAGTGACTTAAGTGCTTTTGCTCTTGCTTTTGCAGTGCTTCTGACAGGAATTTGACTGTTAGACCAGAGAGTAATCTGCATTCTCTCCAGCAAGACATTAAAGAATCACCTGTAAGAAATTGTTATGCAATCATTAACTGCCACTTTAAGCATACATGAGATGGCAGCAAGTTCAGTTTTGTATGTTAAGATGAAAATTTTTCACAGTTCATCTTGACAAATTGAACAGTGGAATCAACAGGAATTACCCCCTTTAACGCGGAGTTGCAGGGCAAGTCCACTTCAGGCGCACTCGGTTAGAGTCAACAAAGATGCTGTTTCAAATCATAGAGCATCCCTGGAAAAAGATGTAAGAGTGGAAATTGATTTTGTTTTTCTACTTGAGATGAAGGACAGATTAGTCTGCTATATCTGTTCTATGTTTTCATGCTTTCACAAACAGTAAGCCCTTTCACAAACATAGAGTCAAGTGGCTTAGTGGAATTATATGATTTCTGTTGCTCATAGTTCCGTTGTACTCCATCAATTAGTCTCTCCTTTTGTAGCTTATACAGTTTCAAGCATTCTTATGATTCTTTTCCACATCCAGTAAGATCCCCTTTAGTTAACAAAGACTCACGGATTAGAAGTGCTTTATGTGTGTGCGTCTATGTTAGATCACTGCGTGTAAAGAACATACACCATAACAGGTGTAATCATGGAAGATAGTTTAAACTTTAATCTTGGAGCTCCTCCCTTGGTTTTGCAACCTTTAGATCATAAACTCATTACGAATCATATAGTCTTTGAAGACTACTGTAAAACATATATAAAAAAAATTATCATGGTTCCATGAAGGAATGTGAATGAAGCATCAGGGTGACATATGAACACAAAATAGTAATTTTTGCATGAGAATCAAAGAATGAAAAAAAGAAACTTTTTTTTGTACGAAATTGATTGCTCTGCTAGAGTTTTTTTTTTTGTAGGAAATTTTTTTGATACAAGGACCCGTATGAATTTGCTTTTCCGTACAAGCCTAATCCCATCCACACCAAAAGATAAAAGGAAGAAAGAAAACAGTAAAATCAGCCTTCTGCAGGTTTTGGAAAAAGGCCTTTTTCATTGAAATTACTTAAATACTGAATATTCACCAGGATTCATCGCTTGCCCCCTGTGTAAAAGTCATACATTAAGAATGTCTTTATATACATACAACGTTTGCCTATCGATACATAATAACTATTTTGTCTCTTTGGATTTTGATAAATGTTAAATCACTTCTGCAGATTGAGCAATTACAATTCCGTTTGCAGCAAGAGAGATCTATGCGTATGGTACTTGAGAAAGCTATGGGTCGAGCTTCCAGCACATTATCTCCTGGACATCGTCATTTTGCTGCTCAAGTAAGCACTAATACTCTGTCTTTTATTTGTGTTTAGATTACATTTGTTGTAATAGAATCAGATACAAATTCGCCACAAGCATTTGCAACAGAAAATGATATCTAACTATGGATAAAGCTTCCTGCATCTAGATGCTATTAACATTTTAGTTTGCTTTGGGTTCATGAATCTGGTTTGCAAATATGAATCTTGTTTGCAACTTAACATACTATGTTACTAGGTGGCCATATTTCCAAGAATTCAATATCTATCATGTGTGTTAGTGTAACAGATGGCTAAGTAGTTAACTGAACCACCTCTAGCCTTACTTCTGTTCTTTTATCTTATGGGGCATAGTGGGTATGAAAGCTTCTCCATACTGAACAACCAACTGCAGTGACAGTATGCTATTTTTATTGGGCATGAAAGCTTCTCCATAATAACATGCAATCTTTAGAACTTGTTTCATTCTAGATCAAAGGTGAAGTATAGGTCATGAACATCGTCAGTGGATCTGACAGATGACCTTTTCATTTCTTGTGAAATGTACAGCTAAGTGGCTCAGATGACGAGAAAAGATGTATAGAACTCCCTAGCTGTGCCTCAGTGTCATAGCAGCAACTTTAAAGACTTTCTCATTATTATTTTTTATGACTTCAAAATATCTATCA